GGAGGCGGAGGCGGAGGCGGAGGCGGAGGCGGAGGCGGAGGCGGAGGCGGAGGCGGAGGCGAAGGCGGAGGCGGAGGCGCAGGCGGAGGCGGAGGCGGAGGCGGAGGCGGAGGCGGAGGCGGAGGCGGAGGCGGAGGCGGAGGCGGAGGCGGAGGCGGAGGCGGAGGCGGAGGCGGAGGCGGAGGCGGAGGCGGAGGCGGAGGCGGAGGCGGTGGCGGAGGCGGAGGCGGAGGCGGAGGCGGAGGCGGAGGCGGAGGAGGAGGAGGAGGAGGAGGAGGAGGAGGAGGAGGAGGAGGAGGAGGAGGAGGAGGAGGAGGAGCGGGAGCAGGAGGAGGACGAGGACGAGGACGAGGAGGAGGACGAGGAGGAGGACGAGGACGAGGACGAGGACGAGGAGGAGGAGGAGGAGGAGGAGGAGGAGCAGGAGGAAGAGGAAGAGGAAGAGGATGTGGCGGAGATGGCGGAGGAGGGGAAAACGCTGCAAGCTATTATCAGCTCTTCCTCGGCGTGGCGTTCAGCTGTCCGCAACATGTTCTCACCTACATGCTCTTTCTACCTGTCCTGTGCACGCAGGCACTGTGGTGTACACCAGCGCTGCGTTGCACGCGGATGCTGTGGTGTAGACAGGCGCTGTGGTGTGCAAAGGCGCTGCGGTGCACGCAATCACTGTGGTGTACACAGGCGCTGTGTTGCACATGGTTGTTGCGGTGTACACATTCGCTGTGGTGTTCACCAGCGTTGTGCTGCAGGGAAGCTCTTTGGTGTACACAGGCGCTGTGTTGCACACGGCTGTTGCGGTGTACGCAGGCTCCGTGGTGTACACGCGCGCTGTGGTGCACGCGGACATTGTGGTGTACACAGGCGATGTGGTGCAGATAGCCACCTACATGCTGCTTGCGTCGTCGTCGTCGTCGTCGTCGTCGTCGTCGTCGCTCGTCGCTCATCGCTCATCGCTCATCATCGTCGTGCGCGCGTGCGCGGTTGTGGTGCCGGAGCCACACGGCGGGGGGGTGCGTCACGTCATCCCGCCCCGCCCCCCCCATGACGTCCGTCATGGCCGAAAATAAAGACTCGCTCTCTTCTGAAGACGACCCTTGTCCACCCGTGTAATTGTTGAGCACTTTTTAGACGAATGTGCGCGTTGCTAAGGCGAGAGCTTTTTTTTGTGACAGCTTAATGTGCTCCATCCTTGACGTGTTGCAAGCTGATCGGATGAATGCTCGCGGCGCTAAACCGACAGCTCCTCTACCAAACTTCTGTAATACTGCGAAGGCCTTACGGCCGTTGCCGCCGACCCTGAAGGGGGACAACGACGACAATGGCGACGACGACAACGACGGGGGCGGCGACGGCGACGACGACGACGCCGACGTGGATCAGAGTCCTCAGGGATGCTGTTTGGGATTTCTTCGGATCGCTCTCGGAGGCCTCTGGGGGGCAGTTTTAGGGCCTCTTGGGAGCATTTTGGGGCTTCCTGGGGGCCTCTTGGGGCCTCCTGGGATCCTCTCGGGGCCGAGGGTTCGAAATGTCCGTTCGGTTCCCCCGTCAGGGCGCCCTTATGGAGACTCTTGGGACGCTGGCGGCCTCTTGCGGGTCTCGTGGAGAACTCTTTGGGGACTTCCTTGGGCTTCGGGACCGCGCGGGGGGGAAGCGCATCTGGGTGGGGACCCCCCCCGGGGCTCCCCTGGGGCTCCCCCGGGGATCCCCCCGGGCCCCTCGCGGGTCCCCCCCTCTGGGACCCTCGCGGGTCCCCCCCGGGACCCCCCCGGGACCCCCCCTCCCCTCCCCGCGGGGAAGGGATCAAAGGGAAGGGGCTTTCCTTCGACTCCAATCCGACGTTGCTCAATTTCGCTTTGGATGGCGCGCTTAAGGAGGAGGGCCCAGAGAAATGAAACGGAGGACGACGGAGACGACGACTCCAACAGAGAAACCCGACTCGAACGGGGCAGCCCCTCACACACGCCTGCGGCGCTAAGGCGACAGCTCCTCTATCAAAATGTTGTAAATTTCAAGCTTCATGTTCTTGAATAGTGTGGTATTCTCAGGCGAAATGCCCCGCTCACCCTGCCGAATCACAGGGATGAGTTATCTAGAAGGAAAGAGATGGAGGAGGCGGACACAGAGGCGGAGGCGGCGACGGAGTCGAAGACGGAAGAGAAGAAGGATGAGAAAGAGGAGGAGGAGGAGGAGGAGGAGGAGGAGGAGGAGAGGAGGAGGAGGAGGAGGAGGAGGAGGCGGAGGAGGAGGAGGAGGAGGAGGAGGAGGAGGAGGAGGAGGAGGAGGAGGAGGAGGAGGAGGAGGAGGAGGAGGAGGAGGAGAAGCTGGAGGCGGACGCGGAGGAGGAGGAGGAGGAGGAGGAGGAGGAGGAGACCAGAGTGCACGCGAGTGCCATCAACATCGGCGGAGGGAAAGACGTGAGACACTCTTTCTCTTCATCTTCGTGAGGCCCTCCCGCGCCCCTCCCCTCTTCCGGGCACGCCGCTAGCTGATCGATCCTGGCCAGGCCGCTCCTAGGCCCAGGATCGTCCTGACCCGGATGGGTGTGCGCAAAGGGACGGTCCCAGCCATCCGATGTCTCGAGTTTCTGGCCTGCAGGACCACTTGTCTTGGTAAGACGACGTCGTCGTTTTGCATCCGATGTCTCGAGTTTCTCAACATCGGCGGTCCTTGGAGGTCCCGATCCTTTCTCCAGGGCTGGCTTTTCGTCCCGGACTGTTTTTCACGGTCCTAAAGCCCGGCGAGGACCCCCAGAGGCCGAAAATGGCGAAACGTCTCCCGTAGTGTTTTTTCCACTACGCGAGCATGTCTGGGGCTGGCGTCCTGTTATCCTCCTTGAGATCGTTTTCCTTATACTCTGGCGCGTCACGGTCGTTACCTGGTCCCCAACAACCCTCCCCCCGCCCCCCCACCAGGGTAACGACCGTGACCCGAAATAACCTGATGGCTTTCGGCCCATCCCGAAATCGTGCCTGGGTTGTGGGTCACAGGCCTCTAGGTTGTTCGTGGGGATGCTTTTCGTCTTGGGTCCTCTTGGGGGGCCTGGGGCCTCTCGCGGACCTCTCGCGGACCTCTTGGGGCCTCTTGGGCCCCACGGGCAACGACCGTTACACGGAATGTTGTGACACAATCTCCTTGGCGAGGGCCGGCCGGCCGGCCAGGCTGGCGCAGCCGCCCGAGATGCCGCTGGGCCCCCCCGCGCTCCAGGCGGCCTGGGGGCAGCCCGTGGACTGGTGCCACCGGGCAGCTACAGATCGGGGGCGGCCAAGGAGGGTGATGACCAGGAGGGTAGGAGGAGGAGGAGGAGGAGGAGGAGGAGGAGGAGGAGGAGGAGGAGGAGGAGGAGGAGGAGGAGGAGGAGGAGGAGGAGGAGGAGGAGGAGGAGGAGGAGGAGGAGGAGGAGGGGAGGAGGAGGAGGAGGAGGAGGAGGAGGAGGAGGAGGAGGAGGAGGAGGAGAGGAGGAGGAGGAGGAGGAGGAGGAGGAGGAGGAGGAGGAGGAGGAGGAGGAGGAGGAGGGGAGGAGGAGGAGGAGGAGGAGGAGGAGGAGGAGGAGGAGGGAGGAGGAGGAGGAGGGAGGAGGAGGAGGAGGAGGAGGAGGAGGAGGAGGAGGAAGAGGAGGAGGAGGAGGAGGAGGAGGGGGATAGGGGGAGGGTGAGGGCGAGGGCGAGGGGGAGGGGGAAGGGGAGGAGGAACCCTCCGCCTCCTCCCCCTCGCGTGCCGCCTCGCCAGCGCTCCTCGTGGTTATCATGGCCAGGGCCGCGTTCTCAGATGGGGTCCAGGGCCCCATCTGAAAACGAGTATGGCCCCATCTGAAACGAGTATATGGGGTCCAAGTAAATGAGGTCGGAGGAGACGGTGTCGGAGGAGCGCGCCGCATCGCTGATGCATCACTGATGCGGCTCGACTTCCTGCGGGACTTTCTGCGCGCCTGCGGCGCCGATGCATCGCCGACGTCGCCGATGCCTACGGTCGGGATTTTTGGCTTAGCATGTCGCGCCGCCAGTTCTGGCCCACCACGCCACTTCGGCGCGGCACGCTGTCCACTTCCCATTCCCAAGCGTCAACGTCCTGAACCTTTTTGAGCCTCCCGCCCCGCCGGGCGGAGCGACACGCCATCCGCTCGCAGGGCGTCGCGCGTCGCCGGGGCCGCCGCCGCGACACGCCACGCGAAAGTTCCTCACCGCAGGGGGGCGGACATGAGGGCCGGGGCCACGATGTGACCCCGGATTTCACGGCTCCCGTCTTATTGCAGGCCCCCCCCCCCTCGTCTGCGCACATGCCTCGGGTCGTGATCTGCGAACCCCTCTCTGGGACGCCCACCTCTTTGAACGCCCCCGAACAGAGATCGCAGCGCTCGGTGGGACTCGCCCACCGCTGGGGGAGGGGAAGGGGGATGGGAGGAGGAGGAGGAGGAGGAGGAGGAGGAGGAGGAGGAGAAGGAGGAGAAGGAGGAGGAGGAGGAGGAGGAGGAAGAGGAGGAGGAGGAGGCGGCCCAGGCATGCTCGCGTCGCGACAAGTTCACGACGGGAGGTGTTTGGCCGTCTTCGGCCTTTCGGGGCCCTCGCCGGGCCTCTGGACCGTCACAAACGACTCGGATAGAAAAACCGGCCCCAGGAAAAGGGTCGGGACTTCCAGGGACAGCGTATGGAACAATTCAAGACATCGCATGTCCAGGGGAGAAGAGGAGAAGGAGGTGGAGGATGAGGATGCTGAGGTGGAGGAGGATAAGGAGGAGGATGAGCACGAGGAGGAGCTCAGGATCCCTGGACATTTGAAGACAGTATTCGTGGCTGCAGTCTCACAGTCTCCCGAGCCGCTTCCAGCAGCGGCCACGAAGCCCCTCTTGCAGTCCAAACATCGCAGACAGCGTAGAAACGACCCTTCTCGGGTTTTCAATCATCATCCAGATGCGCTGCCGCGCGATTCCGCCACCGCGCTGGGGCGCGCGCCAGCTGGAGGGCGCCTGGGAGGCGCAGCAGGCGGGGGGCGGCGGCGGGGTGTGGCGCTGAGAGAGGGGGTAGGCGCCGCAGACCCTCCCTCCCCCGTCCGTGTACTTGGGATCGTTCCTGCCTGGACAGCCACGAACACAATATTTGATTGAACAAATGAGCGCATCCTTGGCTGGATGCGTCGAGGTGGGCAATGGTTGGTTCGCAGGAAGCGGAAGTAGCGAACAAAAACGAAGGCCAGACATCATCATCATCATCATCATCATCATCATCATCATCATCATCATCATCATCATCATCATCATCATCATCATCATCATCATCATCACCATCGTCATCGCCATCGTCATCATCATGATCATCACCATCACCATCACCATCACCATCACCATCACCATCACCATCACCATCACCATCACCATCACCATCATCATCACCATCATCATCATTCTCATCGTAGTCATCATCACCACCATCATTTTCATCATCATTCTCATCATAGTCATCATCACCACCATCATTTTCATCATCATCACCATCATTGTCATCATCATCATCATTATCATCATCATCATCATCATCATCATCATCATCATCATCATCATCATCATCATCGCCATCATCGTCATTGTCGTCACCATCACCATCACCATCACCATCGCCATCATCATCATCATCACCATCATCATCGTTTTGGTCGCCCGCACGACGTTGAAATCAACAATCGTATTCACAATGCGTGGACATGTTTCATGAAATACCGTGCAGAGCTAACTGACTGGCAGTATTCCATAAATTCACGTCTCAGGTTATTTGATTCGAGTTCTACGGTGCTGCCACATGGGTGCTCTCGCGTGAGCTTGAGGACAATATCCGGCGAACAGAGAGGCGAATGCTACGGATAATCGTCCGCATATCGAGACGCAGATCGCGGGGGCCAACCACTTTCGGTTCGACATCTTCTTCATCCAACTCTTGTTCTTCATCGGGCTCCTCTTCTTCTTCAGTGGGCATCTTAGAACCACGGGAAGATTTCATTCTCCGTGCGACGCATCATGCGGAACAGAAGCTTTCTGATTTGGGACTGCGGGATTGGGTGGTTGAACATCGCAAAGCCGCCGTATCATGGTCAAAACGCATGGACACGGATAGCATATCTTGGGAACCGTTCGGTTCTATTAGAAGGCCAGAAGGTCCTCGGAAAAGATGGGCGGATTCTGAAAAGGCCAGGACAACGAGGACTGAGTTTTCCGCCTGCCAGCGCCCAGGCGCCATCGCGCCGCCGATTCTTGTACCAGTCTCTGGGCCGCTGTGGCGTGTGTGTGTGTGTGTATCATCGTTGGCATCAGCATCAGCATCAGCTTCATATCATTATCACCATCAGCATCGTCGCAGCCGTCGTTAGATCATCATCGCGATCCGCGATTCTCGTCAGCATCACCAGCATTACGATCATCATCATCATCATCATCGTCGTCATCGTCATCGTCATTGTTTTCGGCACCATTACCATCACAACCGCTGCCATCATCTTCATCACCGGCATCATCATCGTCAACATCGCCATCGCCATCGCCGTCACCATCACCATCACCATCGACATCGTCGTCATCACCATCATCAGCATTCTTATCATCGCTGTCATCGTCACCATATCACCATCACCACCATAGTCATCATCACCACAATCACCATCATCACCGTCATCATCATCATCATCATCATCATCATCATCATCATCATCATCATCATCGTTGTCATATCATCACTACCATCTTTGCCGCAATCACAATTGCAATCTTCATTCGCATCATCATCATCACCATCACTATTGTCATCATCGGTCTCACCATCATCGCCATCATCACCATCATCACCATCACGAGCATCGTCGTCATCCCCATCCCATGATTGCCATCATTATTATCATTACCACCATCACCACCATCACCAGTTGCCGATTTCCACGATTGCCGCAAGCCCAGAACTCCTGCAGCAATATCACCACCACCACCACTACTATCATTGTGGAGGACGTCTCTAGAGGAAGCTTTGCCTGCCCCCCCCTCTATCCCCGAGGTGCGGCTCGACGTACGCGCCGCCCCGGGACCTGGACGTGGGCCCGCCGCCGGGCTGCCGCGCAGGCGAACCGTCGCGGCGGGACCGCTGAAGGCAGGGCGAAAACAGAGGAGGCGGCGGCGCGTCGAAGGGGGAAGCTTAGTTTTCGAAGTTCGAAGGTTCGAAACTTTGGGTTCGAGTTTCGAAGTTTTCTGGCGATTCCGTCGGTTTTCGGCTGTTCTCCAGCCTCGGGATGCGTTCCAGCCGCTGCGCCTTTCCGAGAGGCGTTTGGGGGTGCCTGGATCGTCCCGAGCGGCCGCCAGAGGCCCGAGTTATGACCCCAAAGCCAGACGACGAGGATTTTTGAGGGCGCAGGTCCTCTCAGAAGGCGACGAGGCTTCTCAGAACCCTCCAGCCTTCCAAGAAGACCGCTGGCATCGGGAAACGCTCAGAACATTTCGCAGAAAGCCGGCTGCCTTCTGAGCCCTTCTGAGCAGGGTCACCTTACCTGCTTCCCTTCTGGGTGTGTCGCCAACAAGTGGAGGACCAGGAGGAGCGCTGGAGGAACAGGAGGACGACGGGGAAAAGGGAGGAGGAGGAGGAGGAGGAGACGGAGGAGGAGGAATTGAGGAGGAGAAGGAGGAGGAGGAGGAGAAGCAAGAACGAATGAGCAGGACGCGGAGGAGGAGGAGGAGGAGGAGGAGGAGGAGGAGGAGGAATACAAATGATGGATGGATGGATGGATGGATGGATGCCGTTGCAGATCATGGTGACGATGGCGGTGATGGGAGTATCCATGATGATAGGATTAAAAGTGGGGAGGTGCCATCCTCCCTTCATCGTCCTCCTCTTCCTCACGGTTTCTTTCCTCCCTATCTCCTCCTCGCGTTTCTTTTTTGTTTTGTTTGTTTCTTCTCTCCAAAATTTGGTTTCCGTTTTGAAAGCTCTTTCTCTCTCTGTCTGTCGCTCTCTCTTTCTCTTCCCTGTCCCTCCCGCTCCCTCTACATCTCCTTTTCCCTGTCCCTGTCCCTATGAGGCCATTTCTTTATTGCTTGGGGCATGACGGGCGTCATGGCCCTCGCTCCCCCCTCCCCCCCCTATGACGTAACGCCCCCCCCCTTCCCAGTGCGCTCCGGGCACTGCCGCCGTGCGCATTGGGATCCGCGTAGGTGTCCGCGTAGGAATCCGCATAGGTGTCTGGTCCGCAGGCGTCGTCATCGTCGTCGTCGTCGTCGTCGTCGTCGTCGTCGTCGTCGTTCGTCGTCGTCGCTCGTGGTTCGTCGCTCGTCGCTCATCGTCGTCGTGCGCGCGGACGCGGCTGGAGCCTGTTTTTAAGTTTGGGCCGATGACGGCAATCATCTGGGGGGGAGGGGGTCGATGACGTCGCGTTTCGCGCCGGCGGCGTCCGGGAATGGTTAGGAATGACGGAGGACGGGTAGCACGAACATGTATGTGGCGATATGCACCACAACGCCTGTGTACATCACAGTGCCCGCGTGCACCACAGCGCCTGTGTACACCACAGCGCCTCCGTACACCACATCAGCCGTGCGCGACACAGCACCATTGTTGTGTATAGAATTTCAGAAGGAATCCTTGTGACAAAATGGAGCGCGATTCCAGAGAAAACAACGGAAAACAAATCCTCATGGACAAAGGAGCGCCGCTGGAATCTACGAGTCCCCCCGAGTCCGCCCGCAGCACCCTAACTCCCATTTGCGTCCAGGAGGCTCCAGCTAAACTGGCCGTCCGAGAACCAAGTGGACCGATTCAATCGACCATTCTGCGGTGCACGCTGAGATGCGCACGTGCGTTGTAACGCCAAGCCGCACGACAGGGGGTATGAAGGAGGAAAAGGAGGATGAGGAGTAGGAGGAGGAGGAGGAGGTGGAGGAGGAGGGAGGAGGGAAAAACGTCGCATTCGATTATCAGAACTTTCCTGGCGTGGCGTTTAGTTGTCCGCATCAGATCCTGACGTACGTGTTCCTTCTACTTGTCCTATGCACGCAGGCACTGTGGTGTGCACCAGCGCTGCGTTGCACGCGGATGCTGCGGTGTAGACAGGCGCTGTGGCGTGCACAGGCGCTGCGGTGCACGCAAGCATTGTGGTTTACAGAGGCGTTGTGTTGCACATGGCTGCTGCGGTGTATGTACACCGGCGCTGTAGTGCTCCCAAGTGTTGTGGTATACACGGGCGGTGCGTTGCACACGGCTGTTGCGGTGTACTCAGGCGCGGTGGTGCACACGCGCGGTGTGGTGCACGCGAGCGTTGTGGTGTACACAGGCGCAATGGGCAGAACGCCACGTACATGCTGCTCGCGTCGTCGTCGTCGCTCGTCGCTCGTCGCTCGTCGCTCGTCGCGTCGTGCGCGCGGGCGCGGTTGTGGTGCCGGAACCACACGGCGGGGGGGGGGCGTCACGTCATACCCCCCCCGCCCTCCCCCCCCCCATGACGCCCGTCATCGCCGAACATAAAAAAACGCCTTCTATCCCTGTCGCCGTCACCGTGCCCGTTTCTGTTCCTGTTCTTGTTTCTCTCCCTGTCCGTGTTTCTGTTCCTGTCTCTACCGCCTCCCTCCCTCCATTTTTTGTTTTTTCCTTTATTTTTCTCTCTCTCTCTCTCTCATTCTCTGCCATCCATTCCACCTCCGTACTCAAGGTGTGTATGTTTCGTCCCCAAACAGTGCATGCACTTGGGGTTTTTGCTTTTGTCCCTTAGGACTTGGATGGGCCCGCCGAGGTTTCGCCACGTAACCACTCGTTGGCGCCTCGTGGGCGTCCCGTGCGCTGCGTCGGGTCCGCCGACGTTTCGTCACGTTGCTGCCCGTGGGCGCCTCGTGGGCGCCGCGTGCGCTGGGTGGGTCGGCGAGGTTTGGCCACGTGCCTGTCCGTGGGCGCCTCGTGGGCGCTTCGTGGGCGCCGCGTGCGCGGAGTGGGTCCGCCGAGGTTTCGCCACGTTGCCGCCCGTGGGCGCCTCGAGGGCGCCCCTTGCGCTGCGTGGGTCCGCCGAGGTTTCGCCGCCTTGCCGCTTCGTGGGCGCCTCGCGGGCGCCCCGTGCGCTGGGTGGGTTGGGCGAGGTTTCGCCACGTTGCCGCCTCGTGGGCGCCCAGTGCGCCGGGTCGGTCCGGTGTTTCGCCGCGTTGCCATCCGTGGGCGCACCGTGCGTACAGTGGCTCATGCCAAATAGAGTGCACCACCCAGCTTGCACAGCATAGTAGCTCACATAGCAGAGCCCACATCACACAGATTGTACCAGGTAGCTTTCACAACACAGCTCACAAGACATATATTGCACTGCGTCTGTAAAATGGAGCAGACGCTACCCCCCCCCCTGGGGTGAACGGACCCCCCCTGGGACACTGCACAGTGCATACGATTCTGCCTCATCGTTGATTTCCCGCATGAAGCCACAACGTCCCAGCCCAATAAGCATCGACCCCCCCCGGCATCCCTGTCAAGCATAAGTATGCGCGGACACCCGTTTATCGCAAGCGATATCTTCTCAAGAGCCTTTCGATTGACAAAATGCGCAAACTACACGCGCGCGCGATCATCTCGAAACCATACTGCACACATCAGTTTTGAAATGAGATCGAAATAATCGCATGTCAAACACGGAAGTTTCCCATTGCACATCTACATATGATTGTAGCAACCCAAAATCCGTACTTTGATTTCACAGCGAGGTGTATCCGCGTTGACCCAGCACGCTCCCAGTGCACGAATCCATCTCAGATAATACAGTGCGGGCCGCACGCGGGCGCCGCCACGCGCGCGTGTCGAAATCCTTCCCCAAACATTGGTTTTCGACACATTTGAAGACAGGGCTCTTGAAACATGTATGGAAAACCGCACATGTTTTTCAACAAAACGTCTGCCAGGCTTCTTGCACTCCCACGCGCGCTCACTTCCTCAGAATCACCTCACCAATGCCATCGCATCACCGCCGCCATCATCATCGTCAAGCGCCGCCGTTGCCGCCATCTGCAGCCAGCCGCCTTCATCACCGACACATGAACATCAACATCGTCATCATCGTCACAAGCATCGTCGCCACCATTGGCCTTGTCGTCGTCATCGTCCTCATCGCCAGCACCGTCGCTACTATCATCATCGTTGCCGCCGTTGTCGACGTCATCATGATACCGAGTCACCGACCCGCACTGAAGTGTGCGCGCCAGCGCGTTCGCTGAGACGCGTTGGGAAGTTCCCATCGGCAAGGGTCACCGCGGTCGCATCAGTTGTGCAAAAGCAGCTGGCTACTCTGCGTGCGAGCTCGCGCGGTCCAGCGCGGCTGCAAAGATGCGCCAGCCAGCGCCGTACATATGCGCAACCGCGTCAGCACGGGTTTGGCTGCAGAAGTTACGGGTGTGGGGGGTGGGATGTTTGCGCGAGCATTGGAGTCGAGTCTCCTTTCTAAGAACACAATCGACTCTATCCCCCCCCCGCGTTATCCGATCCCCTTTCGGGTATGTAAATCATTTATGATCCTGACCACATCTCCATCCTAAATATGAATTTGCACTACCCCCGAGGGGCCAGGATCGGCCCCCCTGAGGTTCCCTTGTAACAAACGATGCGCGGGGACATCTATAACACTCTTCACGAATCCCTTGCAACAAATGGGACGAAGTGCACACGCGCGCGTCGTCGCGCGCGCATGCCGGAATCCTTCAAAAACCTTCGGTGCCGGAAGGATTTCGCAATCGAGTTTCCAAACCACATGCAAAACACATGGTTTCGCAACACTGATTTGCTAAAACAGCTTACGCGCGAGCTCTTGCGAAATCTTAAGAAAACCATAGGTTTTCAAGATTTTCGCAACATGCTACCAAACGGGCTTCGCGCGCGCGCATGTCGAAATCCGTCGAACGCCCTTGCGCGTGTGCCGTCGCGAGAATCCTTTGCAAAAACGGTACGAAGTGCAGACGCGCGCGTCGTCGCGCGCGTATGCCGAAATCCTTCAAAACCCATCGGTTTCGGAAGGATTTCAAATCTACAAAACACAAGGTTTCGCAACACGGATTTTCAACAAAAACGTGCGCGCGCGCTCTTGCGTCGTCGTCGTCGTCGCCGTCGCCGTCCT